ATATACAATGCACGATGGACTTACACCAACATGAATGGACCTCAGCCACACTCACATCAGTGGCCATGAGATGGAAAAGAGGCAACCGAAATGCGTGCACACATGTACGCATACCGAGGACCGAACCTAAGGCATAAAATGCCACTCTACCAAAGCATGGAAAGGGATGAAAGATGGCATACAAACATGTAATTTCTAGCACTGAAACATGATGCTAAATAGTGCCGAAACATTGAAATATGGCACCCGATGCATGAAATAAGTCCCGAAACTCAAAGCTAGGCACATGTATTGAATTATAACTATGCAAAGCAAGCATTATTTGGCCATGAAGTACAAAGACAGAGCCAAGGCAGTCCCAAAACATGCACATTTCTAGTTTAAAGCATGGCCAAAAAGTGCTTACATGATGGACTAAAATAGCATGCAAATTTGGCTAGCAAGCATGGTTTACATGGCATGTATATGAAGCGTATGAGAACTCATCAAACCAGCCAAAAACAGTGAATAAAACATGACAAAATATGCCAAAATAACCACTGAAATGCAGTCAACATGTGCAAAAATGATGAGCTCCTTTGAAAGGGCATGCAAGGGGTTACTCAACACATATATGATGGACAATTAGCATAGCAAAACCAACTCTAGAAATCAAATATGATAAGCCTAAAACTCACCAAATTGGCCCTGAAATGGGTCAATGAAGCATACAATGAAAGGCCCCCTCAAAAGGCCTTGAATGGAATTGTTCTACACATGCATGAGGGACATAAAATATGGCCAAAAGGGCCTTGGACAGAGCTAAGGCAGACCTCAAAACCCTCAGAATGAGGCCTGGAACATGACTTCAAAGCATGCAAAAAGGGGTCCCTTTGGAAGGCCAACAAGACCACCAAACAAAAATCCTCAGAATGAGGCCTGGAAAGTGACTTCAATGTATGCAAAATAGGGTCCCTTTGGAAGGTCAAACATGCTAGTAAAGAGAATGAGGGGTGAGAGGGTCACCCTTCTATGATTTCAAAGCTCAAAACCTCATCAAAGCCACTGAAAATCTGCTGGATTTCTGTGGCTAAGAGGCCAAAACAAGGCTAATGCGAATGCTCAAATGCATGGCTTAAAGCATGAAGGAATGAAGCATGCATAGGAGAAGATGACCCCAAACAGGAATGGGACCTTAACCAAACTTAAAGAGAATTTCAAAATAAGACTTTTTCCAGTTTATAGCAAATCTCAAAAATGTTCACAAGTAAGGCTAAAGTATGATGCAAAAATAGCCCTAAAAGAGAGATAGAGGGTAAGGGGAAGTAGATGACCTTAAACAGCAAAGTGCCCTTAAACAAAGTTGAAGAGGAGCTCAAAATAAGATACTTTACAGTTTAGGTCGAGGCCCATAAATACTTTCAAGTAAGGATAATCAATGGAGCAAAAAAATGCAAGTTTAAGGGAAATAAGTGCTTACCCTTAAAGAGCAGCAAAGCTGGAGCTTTTGGACCAAGTTGGTGAACCTTCAACCCTTGAAAATCAGTCCCAAAGTGCTGGAATGGATGGAGGAGGTGTGGTGCTAAGGGTTGGTGTGCAAATGGTGCAAGAATATTAGGGTTTTGGAGCTCAAGTGTAGAGATATAGAGAGAGAGGTGTATAAGCTCTAACCAAAAAGTTCAACCCTAGCAATAGAGGAAGAAGCCTCCCTTTATAGAGAAGAGAGGCCAAAGCTTCTCTAAGAAGCTTCAAACCAAGCTCAAAGATCCTCCATACACGTGTATGGAGGATCACTTCTGAGGCTTCCAGCTGGCACAGCTGGCTTACACTCAAAGAGACCAAAAAGCAGGAAGCAGGCCGGCCACTCCCCCTGGTCGGCCGACCAGGGGTCAAAAGGTTCAAGAAGAATTTCTGGCCGGCCACCCCAAAAAGGTGACCTCCCAGATGAGTGCAACACAGCTGTATGGTGGAAAACCAGAAAAAGTGACCCAAGAGGGAGAAAAACCAGCTTTTTAGCAAAGTTCAAAAAGGGTCAAGATGAATTACTGGTTGGCCTACCCATATTGGTGGCCTCCCAGATGAGCACAACACAATGGTGGTATGAAAAGCCAGAAATTGTGGCTCAAAAGTGAGAAAAACCAGTTTTCTGTCAGAAAAATCGACTTTTGGAGAGGGAAAAAGAGAAAACTGGTTTTTCAAGGGAAAATGTGGCCTCCCACCATCCTACCACCTCCCTAGCAATGAAAATAGGGTCCCTACCAAAAATGGGCCAAGACGGATGCAAAACGAGGGTTCGGGGGCCAAAACGCGCGGTTCGAGGCCCCGAAAGCAGGCTGTTAGGCACCGGAAGTGGCGTATGACCACGAAGATGGTCTCCCGGGCCATAGTGTTCCTCTAAAGGGAGGAAATAAGGTGTGTGCCAAAAACAGGAGCAAACGGAAGTAATTAAGCGGTCCCGAACCGAGGCGCACGACCGACGGCTCCAAAAATCGAAAACTGGCCTCCAAACGGGAAAAAAGGCCTACGACCGCGAAACGTGGCCTACGGCCACTGAGAGATGGTCTACAGGACCTCTCTCTCTCCCTTCGAGAAGAGAAAACAAAGAAAATAGGACCTGGTTCGCAAACCGAGGCAAAACACAAAAGAGCCTCGAAGTCCAGAGGCAAGGCTCGCAGCCGAGACTCTGAAACCTCAGAATGAGCACAATATGCATCATCATCGAGTGCTCAATCAGTGACGTCTGAATCTTAAGGTTGATCAAAAATGGGGTGTCTACACCATGGCAGGTAATGACTTATGCTTTGGTTAGAATACGATTTCAAGTTATTGAGCACTCGTTTGGCATATGGGTTGAGTTGGTTTTTTTGGCTAAAATAATCACAAAAAGATAAAATAAGCTAAAAAGTAAATAAGACAAAATGTCACAATCAAACCATAATCATTTTATTTTTTTTCTCACAAAAGTCAAAAAAAGCTAAAAAGTCTATCCCAAACGAAATTTTTTAGTCTCAGGCTAAAATAGTCAAAAAGTTAAAAAATCAAAAAATCAACCTACGTTCCAAACGAAAAGTAAGTATCATTAAGGATGTAACTCTTAGATTGGTGAAAGTTCAAATTTTTGAGATAGTCCTTAGGATATACACTTGCTAGACAAGTAGAGTTCAAGAAGGATACCTAGGTAGGTAGTCAACATGAAATATTGAGTTGTTGCTCACTTTAACATCGGAATGTCCAAAGAAGAAAAGGTTTTTCTCAAAAAAAAAAAAAAGAAAAAAAAAAAAAACTAAAACATGTATTTAAATTTTTTTAAAGTAAAAATAATAATATGATTGAAGTTCAAAAGAGCAATGCAACTAAGAAAAATACGCCGAATTTTCAATGTAAGGTGATGGTGACGGTTGTGTGAGGTTATAACCATATATGTTAATATTTATGTATAAATATTTATAAATTCAGATAAAATTATGTAAGTTTCTTATAATTTAATTTTTTTTTTTTTTAACTTATGTTTTAAGAGATTTAAAACTTTAAGTGATATCATTTGTGAATGTATTAAGTGAAAATCAATTAAACTCGTTTTATAATCATAATTCATATCACTTATAAAATTAAATGCTTCTTAAAAAGTAAGCTAAAAGTTAAAAAAACTTCAAGTGAAATAAAATTTATTTAAATCTAATTAAATTTATAAATACTAATAAATATAAGTATCGATATACATTATTACAAACTTACTACCACTGTTGCAACTACCATTACCACTATTACCGTTGTTGCTGTCGCCACCGCCGCCATGCCATCGCCACTACCATTATTGCTATCACTATCTTTATCATCATTATCATTGTTGCCATAAATACCACCATCATTTTACTATCACAACCACACGACCACCATTACTACCGCCGCTACCACTACTATTGCCACCACCTTTTTCACCATTGTTATTATTATTATAAGTACCATGATCATTTAACTACCACCACCACACCACCACTACCATTATTACAACCACTAGAACCCTTCATCTCCACAACAATTGTCACTGTTGTTACACACCTCCATCGTTCTACTACAGCTTTCACTCTTTTTTTTTCTCTCCACAACATTACCCTTTTGCCACCACTACAATCACTACCACTATCCCTTAATCTCCACCACTATTGCCATTGGCACCATAACTAACGCCACCATTTCCTTTCTCACCACTACCAACTCATCATCACAACCAACTAGGTCTAACTTAGCTAGCTATCATGACTTTCTTAAGAATTCAGTCTCTAAGGAGAGGTAATAAGTTCAATTTTCAATTTTATCAACACCACTTTTAATTTTTAATTGTTAATTTTTTTAAGGAGCATTTATTCATAAATCACTCTTCACCTACTTATGTTTCACTTAGTCCAAATTATTTTATTATATTCCAATAAATCATATGAGTGACATAGTTACTAAAATACCCCTAATAATAATATTCACATTGATAGTGTAAATATTCTGTGATGTGAATATTCATACGTCAATGTGAATGCTCAAGCGACCAAGCTAAGCGTTCAAAAAATATTTATAAAGATAAAATTATCCATAAAATTACTTAAATATAATAATTAAGATTTGATAGATCAAATGTCTATAAAAATATGTTATGAACTAATTGAGACACTACTCATTAAAAAATAATTTTTTAATAATTTTCCTCTTTTTTAAACACCACCTAAGTATCATATGGCGGTCAAAATTAGAATAATCCTAATAATAACCCAATCCAAAATGGAAGCATGCTTTACCCTCACAATTTCACAAACATATAAATTGACATTACCAATAAAAAAATAAAAAAATAAAAGAAAATAAATTGCCAGTATAAAAATAAATAAATTAATAAATTGACACTTTAATTTCAACCGCACAGGCAATAAAAACACAAAAAAAATTGACAACAAGCCCTAGTCTTTTCTTGAATAGTCTCTCTCTCTCTCTCTCTCCCTCAAAAAAAGCACCAAAACACAGAGAAACAATTAATGGCGACTATCAGTCTTTGGAAGGGCAACACTCGGCTTCCGCCAGAGGTGAACCAGGTTCTCTACGTCCGGAACCTTCCCTTCATGTACAATATCTTCGGCAAGTATGGCGTCATTCGCCAGATTCGCATCGGCACCAACAAGGACACACTACAAGAAAAAGCACCTTTGGTGACTAAATTTTTAGTCGCCAAAAGTTCATTTTTAGTCGTCAAAAGTCGACTTTTTACTTTCCCCGACTAATTTTTTTAGTCACTAGTTTTGTCGCGTATAGATGGTCGGCAGAGGTATTGGCGACTAAAACTTTTTTAGTCACCAAAAAGCAGCTCTTTCGAGACCAACATTTTAGTCGCCAATAGTGATTTACACTTTTCAAAATCATACATTTAGCGACTAATCCTTTAGTCGCCAATACTCACTGAATCGCCGACTAATCCATTTAGTCGCCAAAATAAAGACTTTTGGCGACTAATAATTTTAGTCGCCAAAGGTGCTTCCGTGAAAAAAAAAATTACTAACTTTTTTACTTTTTCTGAGATTCGAACCACGGACCTTCTACTTTGTACACCTTTACCAACATACTCCCTATACTATGCCACCACAAGATCACATGAATATATATGCAATATATATTATTTATATAGTATATTGACCCGTATTAATTTAAAACTATATATATCGTAGACATGTTATCATATAAGCACATAACATTATACTTGAGTCTTTAACAAGCGAGACAAACCCATTATGGTACTAACCACTTCCCACGAACCCAAAGTATTCAAACCCGGTATGCTCTGATACCAAGTTGTAATGACTACCAATAATTTAGTCGCTAAAAAAATTAATTTTCGTCTAAAAATAACCACTTTCGGCGACTAAACTGATTTTTAGTCGCCAAAACCGCCACTTTTGCCAACTAAACTCAATTTTAGTCGCCAATTGTCCACTTTTAACTACTAAAAATTTTTTAGTAGCCAAAAACCTTTACATTTGGCTACAACATTTCTTTTTGTCGGTAAAACACCTACAATCGGCGACCAAACCATTTTTTAGTCGCCAAAGCCTATACTTTTGGCTACTAATCTTTTTTAGTCGCCAAAAACCTTCACCTTTGGCTACTAAAATTGTTTTAGTCGCTAAAACCCATGTAATCAGCGACTAATATGATTTTTAGTCGCTAATAAGTTCACATTTGGCTACTAAACTGTTTTAGTCGCCAAAAGTCTTCACTTTTGGCTACTAATTCAATTTTAGTCACCAATTGTCCTACTTTCAGCGACGAAATTTACATTTTTGGTCGCAAAAACTGTTTTTTTGTTGTAGTGACACCGGAGGCACTGCCTTCATCGTCTACGAGGACATCTACGATGCCAAGACCACCGTCGATCACCTCTCTGGCTTCAATGCCGCCAATCGATACCTCATCGTGCTCTACTATCAACAGGCCAAGATGAACAAGAAGTTCGATCAGAAGAAGAAGGAGGACGAGATCACTGATTTGCAGGAAAAGTATGGCATCTCTGCTAAAGATAAGTAGTGATGATAATAAATATAAAAAATACGAAACGAATAGTTGTTTTCTTTGTTTTTGTTGTGGTTTTATTGATCATGTAGAGAGAGGTTTTCACCGAACTATATGCAAATTTGGATTATCTATGAGTTTGTGTGAAATAGTTGTAATGGTTTCACTATGCATAGCTTAGTTTATGAATGAATAGAGGGATTTCTTTTTTATTCATCCATGAGATAAATAATGGAAAACATTTTCCTTCTAAGAAATATGGTAAAATAATTTGTAACGGGGAACAATTCTTAAATTTTGGCCGCCTTTGCTTTTTCTTGATCTACAAACTCCGTTATTGATCATCCAAATGTGTTGTGTGTGCATGTTTGATTGAACTTAATCGTTTTTGCATCTAATTCACTTTGTAATTAATACCTTGATTAATTATGTTGTTCTTTAAAGTTCAATTATCAAACATACAAGTTCTTTTACCAAATAACCTTAGCTCAAGTGTAAACATTCAGTCAACTTGCTTTGAGCTATTCTACAAATTTAATTTTAATTGTTAGTTTGTGTGTGAATGAGGAGGTCACTTCAACTTTACGTACACTACTTTTCTCGTACAATCAATTCATACAATTCTTTTCAAATATGCATCTCCACATTCATTCGACAAGTATAAGAAAATGATTGCAATAATGTATAGTGGTGAACACAAGAAATTTATAGTGGTTTGGCACAAATCTTGTGACTACATACACTCCCAACTTACCTTGTCAAATCTAAACTAACACAACCTGTTTTTTCAAGGTTCACCAAAAACCTTTATACTTAAAAGAAGGCTTTCCATATGCTATCCTCACAACCAATTCTACATACAATCACCAAGAAGGTGGGTTTTTAGGCTCACCAATGATCCACAAATACGAAGTCACAATACCTAACACTTAACTTGCTGAGCTCATGTAGAGGTACGGGGGTGTCCCTATATGAGACCAAAGTGTAGGTGGGTGATCACGTGTTATATACAATACTAAATGATGATAAAGATCCATAAGTCCAAATGAAGGGTGGCAGTTGTTCAACTTGGTTATGCACTTGGTGGAATAAAGCTCCTTTCTTGTTGAGATAAGAATGCTCTGAAAAATGTTACGTTGAGGATGACTCTCAAAGTTAACTTATGATAAGATTGACCAAGTTATTTAAGGAACAAATGTTCCATTATATGGCCAATCCTTCCAATGGCTAGTAAAAACTATACTTTTATAAGATTGTACAAAATTGGTCGACCATTTTCAAATTTGGTCAACCAAATCTAGCATGGTTTACTGATTTCAAGCGTTAGTTGACTAAAATTGTTAGAGCAACCCTCTGGAACTCCTTTGGTCAACCATCTGTAGAGATTGATCAACAAAATTTACTCAGGTTTGATACTATGTCTTGTGGTTCAAGTTTTGTCTATTTTACTCGTAAGTTAATTTCTGTTCAAAATTACACAGAAGATGACACATTGACAGTCACGTGATATAACAATATTTTATTATATATAACTCACACATCTGATATAAATATAAATTCTAATACTCTCTCTGTCCCAAAATAATAGTCCTTTTTAGGGAATTCAATATTTTTTGATAATACAATTATTGCAGTTTAAAAAAATTGATTTTCCAAAATTACCCTCTGATAGTACATTTTTTTAGGAATATCAATTGTCATAATTGTACTTTTTATGTTGTTAACGAATTTAAAAGAATGGCAAAATAAGAAATTCATATTATTTTTGTTCTTGATTTTTGAAAAGGGATTAATATTTTAGGACAACGAAAAATGAAATAAGAGACTAATATTTTGAGACAGAGGGAGTATAATAATTAGTGTACCAACTAATGTCATGATATTATTATTTACCTCACTAATTATTGAAACTACAAATACAAAAAATCTCTAAAATTTGTACTAATCATTTGTTAGTGCACTAATTAATATACGACTTTCTTCAGTTAGCAGTATTGGATTGTAAGATTGTTCACTTATAATTTTTAAAAATTAACACTTTCCCAAAAATGACAAATTTCTTTGAAATTTGACTTTTACCTGAACAAACTTCGAATTAAATTAAATTAGAAAGTTTGGTCTACATTTAAAATGTAATTAAAAAATGTAGTAATTACTAAAAATTGCAAAATCTATACACATTTCAATTGTCATTACACAAATTATACATTGAAATGAAATTATTAGTGAACATGCCTACAACTTTGTACGAACTAGGTTGCATGACAAATTCGTACGGAATGTCACTGTTACCGTACAAAAATTAAAAGTTAACTTATCAAGTTCGCATATTTGTCCGAAATATGACTGTGAATTTTTTAATAATTAGGAATGCAAATAACATATAAGTACCCAAATATTGCAAAAAAATTTCAGTATACTAATTACGACGCATAAAAAAAAAATTGCAATTTCTTTTATGAAATTTGACTTTGCATCAAATTTCGAATTTTGACTTTGCATCAAATTTCGAATTTTGCAGTAGCTTCGCAGTGTAAAGAAATTTGAATTTGAAATAACAGCAACTGTGTACCAAATGTAAATTTTAGTTCATAAATGTACGAGTTCAAGTAAATTACAAATGTGATAGAAACTCGATTTACAAATATAAAAATTACGAAATACAAACATTTGCAAGTTTGTTACACACTTGACTTCCCATTCCAAATTTGACGCATTTACATACAAATTGGAATTTCATACAAAATATGAGTTTTACTTATACAAATTAGGAATTACAATAACATAAAACAATAGCACAATATTATTCCCTATAATTTAAGTCCGTAACGATTTGTTATAGTTTTTGCAACAAATGTGCGTCCATAATTAAAAGTCATGCTATGTGTCTCAAACTATGACATCATACAACCAATTCAGAATAGAAAACAATTATTTCACAATAGTCCTTGATTCTGTATGTGAAACAAATAGTCGCAGATGCGAACACAAACTCTCCCCATATCCACTTCGTATCTCCAACCATGAGGCCATTGTCCATATTTCCCCTTCCGTCTTCCGCTGTGGGCATGTCATCCAAAACTGACGAACATCTGACATGTTCGTTGTGGGCATTAGCAGCTATCTCGTGTCTATGAATGAAATTGTGTAACGCCATTGACGCACCAACCAATGGCCTACATCGACATAAAGTCATAGTCCGACATGTTTTTCAGGAACTTCCACCGCGATTTCTACTCTCCAAAAGTCCTTTCCACCACACTTCTCAATGACACGTGCACTTGTTAAATAATTCTTTTGCGTTATCGGGTTGTCCATGTTTCCGAAACTATGCTTGGTGATACCGTGACCCTTTAAATGGTGCCAAATACCCCTTAATGTTTAGATATCCCGCATTAAAAAGGTAACATTTTCCTATATTTGTTAAATCAAGTTTACATACAAAAGATAAAATTATTAACTAGTACTCAATTTGAAATGTGTTGCCTTCTTGTGGATGCGGGAACAGTGCATGTTCGTTTTCAATTATTTCTTTGAAGATGCAACTGTTATGCATTCTTCCTTCCTAGCCACAAGATATGAAAATAAAGCACATGTCGAAGTTGCATATTGCTAGTATGCTTTGGGTTGGATACCCTTTGCGATTGTAATATGTGCCTGCGTCACGGGCATACAACACGGCTTGTACGTAAGTTTCATCTAACGCACCAATACGATGCTTCCAAAGTTCAGTACAAAACACACAAGGGTAATACATACCACATAACTGAATTTAAACTAGTAGCAATAACTGAAGTGCTAACCTTGAATGGTACGTATTTGCCTCTGGACCGCAAATATGGATGCATACTATTTTGATCTCTAGTGGGCTTACAATGCTCTTCTGTGAACAATTTCATTGCGTCCAACATTGCATGGAAATGTCGCGACCCGAGTGTTAGAAACATTCCTGTATGTTTCGATTAGTGTAGCCACCCAACGTATGGATGAACATTGCAACACTTTCTTTAATGTATAATCCATGAGATCTTCTAGGTACTCATAAACTGAATTCGCTTCGTAATGTATCACACAACGATTGAAACACATACAGCGGCACATGCAAATTTTGTTCACATCTACCTAAGTGAACATCAAATAATTCTTGAATCCACGCATGACTGGTCAAAATAAAAGTTCGACATGGGATCTTCTCTATGTACTTCACGTAATATTCCATTGCATGTTGCACTGTTTCAATGATTACGCTGTAATTATACATTTAAATGAAATTATTAGTGAACATGCCTACAACTTTGTACGAACTAGGTTGCATGACAAATTCGTACGGAATGTCACTGTTACCGTACAAAAATTAAAAGTTAACTTATCAAGTTCGCATATTTGTCCGAAATATGACTGTGAATTTTTTAATAATTAGGAATGCAAATAACATATAAGTACCCAAATATTGCAAAAAAATTTCAGTATACTAATTACGACGCATAAAAAAAAAATTGCAATTTCTTTTATGAAATTTGACTTTGCATCAAATTTCGAATTTTGCAGTAGCTTCGCAGTGTAAAGAAATTTGAATTTGAAATAACAGCAACTGTGTACCAAATGTAAATTTTAGTTCATAAATGTACGAGTTCAAGTAAATTACAAATGTGATAGAAACTCGATTTACAAATATAAAAATTACGAAATACAAACATTTGCAAGTTTGTTACACACTTGACTTCCCATTCCAAATTTGATGCATTTACATGCAAATTAGAATTGCGTACAAAATATGAGTTTTACTTATACAAATTAGGAATTACAATAACATAAAACAATAGCACAATATTGTTTCCCATAATTTAAGTCTATAACGATTTGTTCCAATTTTTGCAATGAATGTGCATCCATAATTAAAAGTCATGCTACATGTCTCAAACTATGACATCATACAACTAATTCCGAATAGAAAATAGTTATTTCACAATAGTCCTTGATTCCATATATGAAACAAATAGTCGTGGATGAGAATG